CCTTCACATGGTCATGGTAGCTGACGTCCTTCACACTGGTCGATGGTGCTGACATCCTTCACAACTGGTCATGGTCTGACATCCTTCACACTGGTCATGGTGCTGACGTCCTTCACACTGGTCATGGTGCTGACTCCTTCACACTGGTCATGGTCTGACATCCTTCACACTGGTCATGGTTACTGACATCCTTCACACTGGTCATGGTGCTGAACGTCCTTCACACTGGTCATGGTGCTGACATCCTTCACACTGGTCATGGTCTGACATCCTTCACACTGGTCATGGTACTGACTCCTTCACACTGGTCATGGTGCTGACGTCCTTCACACTGGTCATGGTACTGACATCCTTCACACTGGTCATGGTCTAACATCCTTCACACTGGTCATGGTACTGACATCCTTCACACTGATCATGGTACTGACGTCCTTCACACTGGTCATGGTACTGACATCCTTCACACTGGTCATGGTGCTAACATCCTTCACACTGGTCATGGTACTGACATCCTTCACACTGGTCATGGTACTGACGTCCTTCACACTGGTCATGGTACTGACATCCTTCACACTGGTCATGGTGCTGACATCCTTCACACTGGTCATGGTGCTGACATCCTTCACACTGGTCATGGTTCTGACATCCTTCACATTGGTCATGGTGCTGACGTCCTTCACACTGGTCATGGTGCTGACGTCCTTCACACTGGTCATGGTGCTGACATCCTTCACACTGGTCATGGTACTGACATCCTTCACACTGGTCATGGTACTGACGTCCTTCACACTGGTCATGGTACTGACATCCTTCACACTGGTCATGGTACTAACATCCTTCACACTGGTCATGGTACTGACATCCTTCACACTGGTCATGGTACTGACGTCCTTCACACTGGTCATGGTACTGACATCCTTCACACTGGTCATGGTGCTAACATCCTTCACACTGGTCATGGTACTGACATCCTTCACACTGATCATGGTACTGACGTCCTTCACACTGGTCATGGTACTGACATCCTTCACACTGGTCATGGTACTAACATCCTTCACACTGGTCATGGTACTGACATCCTTCACACTGGTCATGGTGCTAACATCCTCACACTGGTCATGGTACTGACATCCTTCACACTGGTCGGTCACTTTGGTCGTCTAACATCCTTCACACTGTCATGGTACTGACATCCTTCACACTGGTCATGGTACTGACATCCTTCACACTGGTCATGGTGCTAACATCCTTCACACTGGTCATGGTACTGACATCCTTCACACTGGTCATGGTACTGACATCCTTCACACTGGTCATGGTACTAACATCCTTCACACTGGTCATGGTACTGACATCCTTCACACTGGTCATGGTACTGACATCCTTCACACTGGTCATGGTACTGACATCCTTCACACTGGTCATGGTACTGACATCCTTCACACTGGTCATGGTACTGACATCCTTCACACTGGTCATGGTACTGACATCCTTCACACTGGTCATGGTACTGACATCCTTCACACTGGTCATGGTACTGACATCCTTCACACTGGTCATGGTACTGACATCCTTCACACTGGTCATGGTACTGACATCCTTCACACTGGTCATGGTACTTGACATCCTCCTTCACACTGGTCATGGTACTGACATCCTTCACACTGGTCATGGTACTGACATCCTTCACACTGGTCATGGTACTGACATCCTTCACACTGGTCATGGTACTGACATCCTTCACACTGGTCATGGTGCTGACATCCTTCACACTGGTCATGGTACTGACATCCTTCACACTGGTCATGGTCTGAACATCCTTCACACTGGTCATGGTACTGACATCCTTCACACTGGTCATGGTCTGACATCCTTCACACTGGTCATGGTGCTAACATCCTTCACACTGGTCATGGTACTGACATCCTTCACACTGGTCATGGTGCTGACATCCTTCACACTGGTCATGGTACTGACATCCTTCACACTGGTCATGGTGCTGACATCCTTCACACTGGTCATGGTACTGACATCCTTCACACATGGTATCTTCATGGTACTGGACATCCTTCACAATGGTCATGGTGCTAACATCCTTCACATGGTCATGGTGCTGACATCCTTCACACTGGTCATGGTGCTGACATCCTTCACACATGGTCATGGTACTGACATCCTTCACATGGTCATGGTGCTAACATCCTTCACACTGGTCATGGTGCTGACATCCTTCACACTGTCATGGTACTGACATCCTCACACTGGTCATGGTACTGACATCCTTCACACTGGTCATGGTACTGACATCCTTCACACTGGTCATGGTACTGAACATCCTTCACACTGGTCATGGTCTGACATCCTTCACACTGGTTATGGTGCTGACATTCTTCACACTGGTCATGGTACACTGACATCATCTACTCCTACACTGGTCATGGTACTGACATCCTTCACACTGGTCATGGTACTGACATCCTTCACACTGGTCATGGTACTGACATCCTTCACACTGGTCATGGTGCTAACATCCTTCACACTGGTCATGGTACTGACATCCTTCACACTGGTCATGGTGCTGACATCCTTCACACTGGTCATGGTACTGACATCCTTCACACTGGTCATGGTGCTGACATCCTTCACACTGGTCATGGTACTGACATCCTTCACACTGGTCATGGTACTGACATCCTTCACAATGGTCATGGTGCTAACATCCTTCACACTGGTCATGGTACTGACATCCTTCACACTGGTCATGGTACTGACATCCTTCACACTGGTCATGGTGCTAACATCCTTCACACTGGTCATGGTGCTGACATCCTTCACACTGGTCATGGTACTGACATCCTTCACACTGGTCATGGTACTGACATCCTTCACAATGGTCATGGTACTGACATCCTTCACACTGGTCATGGTACTGACATCCTTCACACTGGTCATGGTGCTGACATCCTTCACACTGGTCATGGTGCTGACATCCTTCACACTGGTCATGGTGCTGACATCCTTCACACTGGTCATGGTACTGACATCCTTCACACTGGTCATGGTACTGACATCCTTCACACTGGTCATGGTGCTAACATCCTTCACAATGGTCATGGTGCTGACATCCTTCACACTGGTCATGGTACTGACATCCTTCACAATGGTCATGGTGCTAACATCCTTCACAATGGTCATGGTGCTAACATTCTTCACACTGGTCATGGTGCTGACATCCTTCACACTGGTCATGGTACTAACATCCTTCACACTGGTCATGGTACTGACATCCTTCACACTGGTCATGGTGCTGACATCCTTCACACTGGTCATGGTACTGACATCCTTCACACTGGTCATGGTACTGACATCCTTCACACTGGTCATGGTACTGACATCAACACAACCTTCTGATGTTCAAAACTTTCCAATGAACATCTGAACATTAATGAAGTATGAAAACAGACATATCAAATAATTTACAATAAAAATCAATTTATTTTTGAAATTGAAATCACGAGTTAGTCACATCAAAATATCAAAGTTAACTTCTATAACCAAGAAAATGTTAACATCCGAGACAATTAAAAAAAAATAGCAATTTCCGATTTCAGTTTTGGAATAAAAATTGACCTGGAAAAAAACCAGTCTTAATTATCCAAGTGTCTTGTCTATGAACTGGCGTTCTACTGAATGTCAGTCCCTGTCCACGGAACGGGTGGGATTTGAACACATGGTAAGCGAGTCCTACAATTCACTGGCCTGTGAATTTTAAGACTCATTCGCCATGAGTTCAAACCTCACCTGTTCTGTTTTTTGTTTGCAATCGCGTTAATACGATTTGGTGAGTCATTCACTGAGCTGGGTGGTTAACTGAGGAATAGGCTTTATTCTCTCTGCTGGGTGGTTTACCGATAGGTATCCTGAGTACTGGGCTGTTGACTGATTTACAATCTCTGCTGAATATTTACTGGTTAGTATTTTCTGTGCTGGGTATTGGTAGTTTACTAAATGGTAGTTTCAGTTTACGGTAATTTACTGAACAATGTTCTGTGTTGGCTGATTTACTGAGCAATATTCTCTGCACTAGATGGTTTACTGAGCAATATTCTCTGCACTAGATGGTTTACTGAGCAATATTCTCTGCACTAGATGGTTTACTGAGCAATATTCTCTGCACTAGATGGTTTAATGAGCAATATTCTCTGCACTAGACGGTTTACTGAGCAATATTCTCTGCACTAGATGGTTTACTGAGCAATATTCTCTGCACTGAGACGTTGTTTACTGAGCAATATTTTCTGCACTAGAATGGTCTACTGAGAGCAATTATTCTCTGCACTAAGACGGTTTACTGAGCAATATTCTTCTCATAGAACGGTTTACTGAGCAATTATTTTCTGCACTAGATGGTCAACTGAGCAATATTCTCTGCACTAGAAACGTTTACTGAGCAATATTCCTCTGCACTAGATGGTTTTACTGAGCAATATTCTCTGCACTAGATTGGTTTACTGAGCAATATTCTCTGCACTAGATGGTTTACTGAGCAATATTCTCTGCACTAGACGTTTACTGAGCAATATTCTCTGCGCTAGATGGCTTTACTGAGGCAATATTCTCTGCACTAAATGGTTTACTGAGCAATATTCTCTGCGCTAGATGGTTTATTGAGCAATATTCTACTGCACATAGACGGTTTACTAGAGCAATATTCTCTGCGCTAGATGAGTTTAACTGAGCAATATTCTCTGCACTAGATGAGTTTACTTACATATTCTCTGCCTAGATGGTTCACTGGGCAATATTCTATGGCATCTAGATGGTTTACTGAGCAATATTCTCTGCACTAGATGTTATACTGAGCCAATATTCTATGCACTAATGGTTTACTGAGCAATATTCTCTGCACTAGATGGTTTAACTGAGCAATATTCTATGCACTAGAGGTTTTACTGACAATATTCTCTGCACTAGATGGTTATACTGAGCATATTCTCTGCACTAGATGGTTTACTGAGCAATATTCTCTGCACTAGATGGTTTACTGAGCAATATTCTCTGCACTAGACGGTTTACTGAGCAATATTCTCTGCGCTAGATGGTTTACTGAGCAATATTCTCTGCACTAAATGGTTTACTGAGCAATATTCTCTGCGCTAGATGGTTTATTGAGCAATATTCTCTGCACTAGACGGTTTACTGAGCAATATTCTCTGCGCTAGATGGTTTACTGAGCAATATTCTCTGCACTAGATGGTTTACTTATCAATATTCTCTGCACTAGATGGTTCACTGAGCAATATTCTATGCACTAGATGGTTTACTGAGCAATATTCTCTGCACTAGATGGTTTACTGAGCAATATTCTCTGCACTAGATGGTTTACTGAGCAATATTCTATGCACTAGATGGTTTTTTGCTGAGCAATATTCTCTGCACTAGATGGTTTACTGAGCAATATTCTCTGCACTAGATGGTTTACTGAGCAATATTCTCTGCACTAGATGGTTTACTGAGCAATATTCTCTGCACTAAATGGTTTACTGAGCAATATTCTCTGCGCTGGGCGGTCCAATATATCCGTACAAACTGTTGATACTGGTGTGGCTGATCCTTCTTCCATTTTCTTGCCTGAGATTCATCTGTGTTTCACTCTTGTCTTTATCCAACTGAACTTTCAGGTTATCCAGGTCAATGGTCTCATAGAAGTGACTTGATGGGTCGTAATCTGAACAATAAAAAGCAAATACAGTGAATCACTAATTAACTAGTTAACTGACGTAAATTATTCAGACGCTATTCAATTTTTCCTCATTAAAAACAAGAGTATTACTTTAAAAATTTATATTTTAAATTTTTCTAAGGTGAACTTGATGAGTTTTTGTTTAGTAATACAAAAATAGTCAACAAATCGTAAATAATTTTCAAATCACGATCAACAAGATTTGTTTAAGTAAATGTCTAGGAGATAGAAATTTTATTAATATATTACTCTAGGGAGATAAATGGCTACTATATGACGAGACTAATGTATGCAGTGACTCTAATGTTTTAAATATACATATTTAAGGTCTGGAAAAGACCCATTGTAACTCTGTAATGTTGTGTTGTTGCTCTGCCACTCAGAGCAGGTACCTGGGATACACAGGAAACTAGGCACTCACAGGATGAGTTGCGGTGCACAACAACTTAGCTGATCAAGACACAGAAAGTAACTAGCAAGATGACTTAAGTTTTCTCTCCAAATTGAAGATTAGTTGTAATTGAATTTATTGATTTCTTGAATTGAGGATTAAGGAAGAAAGTTGTGACACCATAACTGACCGTCCGTAGCACCGTCATGGGTGACGCTGGTGGTGTTGATGGGCGTTTCTGAGGTGCCAGTCTGTCTGTGTCGCCGCTGGCACACAGCAACAGTCAGGCACAGTGTTATAATCAGCAGCACCACACTCACACATGTAAGCCCAATTGCTATTAACTTCAAATCCCCTGTTGATGACAAGTTGAAAAACTGATGAGGTTAATTAAAACTTGTCTAGTATGAAGATTATGTTACCTAAACACAGTTCTTCGTAAAATTGTATGTAGATCCAGCCAGCTATATAATGCCATTCTAATATTAAAAATAAATATAAAACAAACATTAAACTGATATCTTGTTTGAACACTGGAATAGTGAAGAGCAATAATAGTAATTATAACAGTAATATAATACAGTGAGATAAACGTCTACTGATACTGGTTGTGGTGAGGCAGAGTGGGTGTGTGGTGAGGCAGAGTGTGTGTGGTGAGGCAGTGTGTGTGTGTGGTGAGGCAGTGTGTGTGTGTGTGATGAGGCAGTGTGTGTGGTGAGGCAGAGTGTGTGTGTGGTGGGGCAGAGTGGGTGTGTGGTGAGGCAGAGTGGGTGTGTGGTGGTGAGGCAGAGTGTGTGTGTGGTGAGGCAGAGTGTGTGTGTGTGGTGAGGCAGAGGTGTGTGTGGTGAGGCAGAGTGTGTGTGTGTGGTGAGGCAGAGTGTGTGTGTGGTGAGGCAGAGTGTTTTGTGTGGGGGTGAGGCAGAGTGTGTGTGTGGTGAGGTAGAGTGTGTGTGTTTGAGCCAGAGTGTATGTGTGTGGTGAGGCAGAGTGGTGTTTGGTGAGGTAGAATGTGTGTGGTGAGGCAGAGTGTGTGTGTGTGTGGTGAGGCAGAGTGAGTGGTGAGGCAAGAGTGTGTGTGTGTAGTGAGGCAAAAGGGGAGTGGTGAGGCAGAGTGTGTTGTGGTGGGGCGGATTGTGTGGTGAGGCAGTGTGTGTGGGTGAGGCAGAGTGTGTGTGTGTGGTGAAGCAGTGAGTGGGGTTTAAATGCAGAGTGTGTCTGTGTGGTGAGGCAGAGTGGTGTCTCTGTGGTGAGGCAGGTGTGTGTTTTGGTGAGGCAGAGTGAGTGGTGAGGCAGTTGTCTGAGGTGAGGGCAGGGCCTGTGGTGAGGCAGAGTGTGTGTGTGGTGAGGCAGAGTGTGTGTGTGGTGAGGCAGAGTGTGTGTGTGTGGTGAAGCAGTAAAGTGTGGTGATGCAGCGGGTGTGTCTGTGTGGTGAGGCAGGAGTGTGTCTCTGTGGTGAGGCAGAGTGTGTGTGTGGGTGAGGCTGTGGGGTGTGGTGAGGCAGACTGTGTGTGTGGTGAGGCAGAGTGTGTGTGTGGTGAGGAGTGTGTGTGGTGAGGCAGAGTGTATCTGTGTGGTGAGGCAGAGTGTGTCTGTGTGGTGAGGCAGAGTGTGTGTGGTGGAGGGGGGAAGTGTGTTTGTGTGTGGTGAGGGAGAGTTTTGTGTGTGTGTTGTTGTGGTGAGTTAGAGTGTGTGTGGTGAGGCAGAGTGTGTGTGGTAAGGCAGAGTGTGTGTGGTGAGGCAGTGTGCGTGGTGAGGGAGAGTGTGTGGTGAGGCAGAGGTGTGTGTGCGTGGTGAGGCAGAGTGTGCGTGTGGTGAGGTAGAGTGTGTCTGTGTGGTGAGGCCCAGAGTGCGTGTGTGGTGGGGGAGAGTGTGTGTGTGTGTGTTTGTGGTGAGGGAGCGTGTGTGTGTGTGTGTGTGTGTGTGGTGTGTGTTGTGTGTTGTAAGGGAGAGTGTTGTGTGGTTTTGTGTGTGTGGTGGGGGGAGAGTGTGTGTGTGTTGTGAGTGGGTGAGGGAGAGTGTGTGTGGGGTGTGTGTGTGTGATGAGGAAGAGTGTGTGTGTGTGGTGTTTGGCAGAGTGTGTGTTTTGTAGTGAGGCAGAGTGAGTGGTGAGGCAGAGTGTGTGTGGTGAGGCGGATTGTGTTGGTGAGGCAGTGTGTGTGGTAAAGGCAGAGTGTGTGTGTGTGGGGGGAAGCAGTGATTTGTGGTAAATGCAGAGTGTGTCTGTGTGGTGGGGGCAGAGGGGGACTCTGTGGTGAGGCAGAGTGTGTGTGTGGTGAGGCAGAGTGAGGGGTGAGGCAGTGTGTCTGAGGTGAGGCAGTGCCTGTGGTGGGGGCAGAGTGTGTGTGTGGTGAGCAAGTGTGTGTGTGGTGAGGCAGAGTGTGTGTGTTTTGGTGAAGAAAGAGTGTGGTGATGCAGGGTGTGTCTGTGTGGTTGAGGCAGAGTGGGGTCCTGTGGTGAGGCAGAGTGTGTGTGGTGGTGAGGCTGTGTGTGGGGTGGGGGCAGACTGTGTGTGTGGTGAGGCAGAGTGTGTGTGTGGAGAGGCGTGTGTGTGGTGAGGCAGAGTGTATCTGTGTGGTGAGGCAGATTTGTGTCTGTGTGGTGAGGCAGAGAGTGTGTGTGGTGAGGGAGAGTGTGTTTGTGTGTGGTGAGGGAGAGTGTGGTGTGTGTGTGTGGGTTGAGTTGGGAGTGTGTGGGGGTGAGGCAGAGTGTGTGTGGTAAGGCGGAGTGTGTGTGGGGGAGGCAGAGTGTGTGTGTGCGTGGTGAGGCAGAGTGTGCGTGGGGTTTTAAAGGTAGAGTGTGTGTGTGTGGTGAGGGCAGAGTGTGTGTGTGGTGAGGCAGAGTGTGTGGTGTGGTGAGGCAGAGTGTGGTGTGGTGAGGCAGAGTGTGTGTGTGTGGTGAGGCAGAGTAGGTGTGTGTGGTGAGGTAGGGGTGTGTGTGTGTTGAGCCAGAGTGTATGTGTGTGGTGAGGCAGAGTGTGTGTGGTGGTGAGGTAGAATGTGTGTGGTGAGGCAGAGTGTGTGTGTGTGTGGTGAGGCAGAATGAGGGGTGAGGCAGAGTGTGTGTTTTTAGTGAGGCAGAGTAAAGTGGTGGGGCCCGAGTGTTTTGGTGGTAGGGCGGATTGTGTGGTGAGGCAGTGTGTGTGGTGAGGCAGAGTGTGTGTGTGTGGTGAAGCAGTGAGTGTGGTGATGCAGAGTGTGTCTGTGTGGTGGGGCAGAGTGTGTCTCTGTGGTGAGGCAGAGTGTGTGTGTGGTGAGGCAGAGTGAGTGGTGAGGCAGTGTGTCTGAGGTGAGGCAGTGCCTGTGGTGAGGCAGAGTGTGTGTGTGTGGTGGGGCAGAGTGTGTGTGTGGTGGGGGCAGAGTGTGTGTGTGTGGTGAAGCAGTGAGTGTGGTGATGCAGAGTGTGTCTGTGTGGTGAGGCAGAGTGTGTCTCTGTGGTGAGGCAGAGTGTGTGTGTGGTGAGGCTGTGTGTGTGGTGAGGCAGACTGTGTGTGTGGTGAGGCAGAGTGTGTGTGGGGGTGAGGCAGTGTGTGTGGTGAGGCAGGTGTATCTGTGTGGTGAGGCAGAGTGTGTCTGTGTGGTGAGGCAGAGTGTGTGTGGTGAGGGAAGTGTGTTTGTGTGTGGTGAGGGAGAGTGTGTGTGTGTGTGTGTGGGTGAGTTAGAGTGGTGTGTGGTGGGGGCAGAGTGTGTGTGGTAAGGCAGAGTGTGTGTGGTGAGGGCAGTGTGCGTGGTGAGGGAGAGTGTGTGGTGAGGCAGAGGTGGGGTGTGCGTGGTGAGGCAGAGTGTGCGTGTGGTGAGGTGAGGTGTCTGTGTGGTGAGGCAGAGTGCGTGTGTGGTGGGGGAGAGTGTGTGTGTGTGTTTTTGGTGAGGGAGGCGTGTGTGGTGGTGTGTGTGTGTGTGTGTGGGTGTGTGTGTGTGTGTGGTGTGGTGTGTGGTTGTAAGGGAGAGTGGGGTGTGTGTGTGTGTGTGTGGTGAGGGAGAGTGGGGTGTGTGTGTGTGAGTGGGTGGGGGAGAGTGTGTGTGGTGGTGTGTGTTGATGAGGAAGAGTGTGTGTGTGTGGTGATGCAGAGTGTGTGTGTGTAGTGAGGCAGAGTGAGTGGGAGGCAGAGTGTGTGTGGTGAGGCGGATTGTGTGGTGAGGCAGTGTGTGTGGTGAGGCAGAGTGTGTGTGTGTGGTGAAGCAGTGAGTGTGGTGATGCAGAGGGGTGTCTGTGTGGTGAGGCAGAGTGTGACCTGTGGTGAGGCAGAGTGTGTGTGTGGTGAGGCAGAGTGAGGGGGTGAGGCATTTGTGTCTGAGGTGAGGCAGTGCCTGTGGTGAGGCAGAGTGTGTGTGTGTGGTGAGGCAGAGTGTGTGTGTGGTGAGGCAGGTGTGTGTGTGTGGTGAAGCAGTGAGTGTGGTGATGCAGGGTGTGTCTGTGTGGTGAGGCAGAGTGGTGTCTCTGTGGTGAGGCAGAGTGTGTGTGTGTGTGAGGCTGTGGGGTTGTGGTGAGGCAGACTGTGTGTGTGTGGTGAGGCAGAGTGTGTGTGTGGAGAGGCAGTGTGTGTGGTGAGGCAGAGTGTATCTGTGTGGTGAGGCAGAGTGTGTCTGTGGGTGAGGAGAGAGTGGGTGTGGTGAGGGAGAGTGTGTTTGTGTGGGGTGAGGGAGAGTGTGTGTGTGTGTGTGTGGTGAGTTAGAGTGTGTTTTGGTGAGGCAGAGTGGTGTGGTAAGGCAGAGTGTGTGTGGTGAGGCAGAGTGTGTGTGTGCGTGGTGAGGCAGAGTGTGCGTGTGGTGAGGTTAGAGTGTGGTGTGTGGTGAGGCAGAGTGTGTGTGTGGTGAGGCAGAGTGTGTGTGTGGTGAGGCAGAGTGTGTGTGGTGAGGCAGAGTGTGTGTGTGTGGTGAGGCAGAGTGTGTGTGTGGTGAGGTAGAGTGTGTGTGTTTGAGCCAGATGTGTATGTGTTGGTGAGGCAGAGTGGGGTGTGGTGAGGTAGAATGTGTGTGGTGAGGCAGAGTTTTGTGTGTGTTGTGTGAGGCAAATGAGTGGTGAAGGCAGAGTGTGTGTGTGTAGTGAGGCAGAGTGAGTGGTGAGGCAGAGTGTGTGTGGTGAGGCGGATTGTGTGGTGAGGCAGTGTGTGTGGTGAGGCAGAGTGTGTGTGTGTGGTGAAGCAGTGAGTGTGGTGATGCAGAGTGTGTCTGTGTGGTGAGGCAGAGTGTGTCTCTGTGGTGAGGCAGAGTGTGTGTGTGGTGAGGCAGAGTGAGTGGTGAGGCAGTGTGTCTGAGGTGAGGCAGTGCCTGTGGTGAGGCAGAGTGTGTGTGTGGTGAGGCAGAGTGTGTGTGTGGTGAGGCAGAGTGTGTGTGTGTGGTGAAGCAGTGAGTGTGGTGA